AGATGTGCTGCCCTGCATCGAGTCAGCACGTGAACGTCATTTTAGCACAAATAGGGCCCTATACAGGAGCTGTAAGTAACTGCAGATGTTGTTTATTGCTTCAGCATATAGAAGCTGTTGTTATTTGGTGGAGTGGCAGATGAGGGATGAACAAACTACTATGCAGCAACAACAACGAGACCCCTCTCTCTACAAATAAATTGGCAGCATGGCCGTGATCCAACCTGCAGGGGAGGAAGGCATCCGCCTGAAGGTAGTTTTCCCGTCTCAAAAGCAGGTAAATAAACTCAAACTATGTGTCGTGGGACAGATTCAGGCTCGGAGAAGAACTGTCAGCTCGTCTGTGTTGGGATACTTGTCTGGACGTTGACTCTCCTGCTTGTAGTCACTGTGATGTTAATTCAAACTTGCAGGCAGCTGCTAAATGCCCACAGCTGGTAATTGAACAGCCACTGTCACTCCATATGTTCTTCCTCCCTCTGTCATATAGGCTTTTCATCTCTCTTCCCACCTTTCTCTTTCTGCCATCCTGCCCTCAGGCTAGTGTCACATCACATCACTCTCCCTTTACTTCGTCTCTTGGTCGCGTCGCTGGGACTTTTGCTCACCAGACAGGTGTGTGTGTGACAAAATAACAGTATCACAATACTACTGATTTAGCAATGTTTGTATTTGATACACCTCAGATTGAAGAGAAGAGAAGAGAAGAGAAGAGAAGAGAAGAGAAGAGAAGAGAAAAGCTAGCGTGAAGTGAAATGATTGATTGAGGCAGAGTACAAAGACAAGGTCTAAATCATTAGTGAAAGCATTAATGTCGGCTGGTGCTTCTCTGTCATATAAATCACTTTTTAACTCACTGCTTTACTTCATGCTTATTGTTTAAGCCATGCAGCCGTGAAAATGGTGATGTGACTGTCTGCCTTTTACACGCTATAAGGGTTTATTCTAGAGCCAGAATCCACTCCCAGCATCTGCTTCTGCTCCTTATGCAGGTTTATGGAAGCCTCATGCTGCATGTCATTTCAATATTAGCAGATAGCATCTTAACAGGGCGTGGTCCCGCTGAATAAGAGGAGGCTGACTTAGAAAAGGAATTGAAGTGATGTATAGGCACGAATCATGAATAAGAGAGAGCAGATGCATTTAAAGCATTTAAAGGAAGTGTATGTTTTCTGATATGCGATGCTCAATAATGATTTGGTTTAGGAGGGACAAAAAGAGGAGAAATTAGCTGGAAACAGAGAGAGGAGACTGGAGAAGATGAACCCAAAAGGAGAGAAGAGGATAGGTAAATGGAGGTGGATAAAAGATGATAGATGGGGTCTACTGGACGGCAGTGTGAGGGTGGGAGGGGCAAGGAAGGGTGAGATGAATAGAGCGAAGGGAACGGGAAAAGGGCCAGACGGGAAGAGGAGAGGAGGGAGCTGTCAGGATGATTTGAGTTTGCCCCCAATGGACCCTGACGCTGCACTTTTCAGTGTGTGTGTGTGTGTGTGTGTGTGTGTTTGTGTGTGTGTGTGTGTGTGTGTGTGTGTATATATTATCTCCTCTCCTGTTTCATCACAGAGCAGTGCAGTGAGCTTACAGGAAGCTCTGAAGCAGTGAACCAGCTGTTGTCTCATACGGTAAACTTCAGGAAGCATCTCTTTGAAACTCTACCTGACAATCCCAGAAGTTTCACATCAATCCAGAGAAGCGCTTTACCTGGATTTCACAAATACTGTGAACACTCACACAGAATATATTTAGGTTACAATCAGGTTGAAGAACTAGAGCCAAAAACCTGGGAGAGAGCTGGACTTCTGTACCATCGTTTGCCTGGTGCTCAACACTTTTTCATAAATCTGTTAGGCTTTAAAAAACTTCCCTCTAAATTTTCTAACATTCGGCTGAAGGAAAAACCTAGTGTGGTGATTTCTGATGGTCACGCTCATCTTCATGCCATATTCTGAGGCTGGGTTTGAACTCCCTCCTAGATATTTTCCATTCATTACAAAACTATTTTTGTGTCCGACCAAGCACAACGCTCAGAATGTCTTCCAGGAGAGACACATATCCAAGCAGCATTGTTTCCCATCGCCCTCTGGGACAGCTGGCATTTCAGTTTTGAGCAATTATAAACCTATTTGATTTCCTGAGTGCTTCATACTGCACTGTTGGGTGTGCTGAATAACAGCGACACCAAGCATGCGTGCCTCTAAGGTGAAATAAAGCAGAACATTTTCATCTCAGGGCAGCGAGTGCTGTTGTTCTATGAGAGGTCGATGGCAACGCAGATGAAGACCGCAGTCGTTTGAAATGCCTCTGAGGCCATCCGTCATCAGCGCTGGTGACGGAGCAAATCGTGGGTTTGTCACCTGGGAGACTACGGTTCGGTAAAAAGCTGTGATTTTGGTTAAACATACCACAAACGTTTAAAAGTGTCTTATATGTTCCCTCGAGTATCCTTTTATCTTTTTCAAATATTCCTAATTGCTTTTTTATGCGAAGGTAAGAGAGAAACAGTATCTCCTGTATGCTTAGACTTGACAATAAAGTCTCGAATTGTTATAAATGAGTAAATGTAACAAACTGGGAATGACTTTCTTAAATAATTGAATATGAAATATCTTTCATCATCTATACAAGCTACATAAAGAGACACAAATAGCTACAGTTTCAGTCAGATTATCGAGTTCAGACTGACTTAAAAATACACACAGGTATTACAAATACAGCAGACTTACATGGACATACATGTTACCACGGTGATGGTCACGTGATGCAAAAAGGGAAGCCATGTTGATTCATGGAGTTCCCGATGTTCCTGTCGTTCCTTTTCATCTCCCCGAGTCCCCTCAGCTGTTTCCCTGCACTTAAATTACTGCTGTACATGAATCTTAATGAAAACATCTCTCTTTGTTCTGGCTTCCACTCCATCGATTTTCTCTGCAGAGCCACCGGAGTGCTTGACAAAATGTGATGCATTATAGATTACAGATTCCCATCTTAAATTGCAATCAGGCCCATAATAGATGAGATTGCTTCATCGTAGTGACATAATAAAACAAGTCCTGCCTGGCCGGGCATGCAGATTCATAACCGTGCTGTTGTCGCAGCTCAGTGTTGGTGGAGAGACAGATGCTACTGTACGGTGAGGGGGTTGTTTTAATGATAAAAAGTATGGGAGGAAGCATATGCTTGTTCATGATGTACTCTTTGTCTGTTAACACAGATGACTCCTTTGTCCCAATAATGTGAATGGGTGTGTTTTCGTCCCCACAAACTAAAGATTAATGGCAGTTTTCACTTGCTCAGAGCTGAAAATCTGCATGTCCAAGAAAAGAAACACATTTATAACGTCCTTATGACCAAACAGTGTTAAATGACAGAGACATCAGGGGGCTGTGCTGATGTTTGTGTGTACACTCCCCCCACAAACACAGACGCACACCGGCAGCCTCTTCTCCTCGGCCTCTTTGCCCTCTGAACCTAACAGCTAAATTTCAGCCTACCGTTACACAAACACACACACACACACACACACACACACACACACACACACACACACACACACACACACACACACACACACACACATGCACGTACTCAGTGCCTGCAGACTTAAATAGCCCTGAGTTGTAGGGCACTTGTAAGCTTGAGATGTTACCACCAACAGTGTCTCCCTCTTAATGGCATAATCTGCACGGTGACTTTGCAAAAAAGGTGCTTGTCATCACTGGGAACAACCTGGAGTTATTTAAAGGCAGTGTACAAACACACATGTACACAATCAGTATGCATGCACCACAATAAATAAATCAGCTGCTGGTGTTTCTTGCAGATTTCCTCCTCCTGGGAAACGGCCGGGGTTTAAATGGATGCAAGAAACTCAGAGAGGAAGGGGAAAGGAAGTGCAGATGTAGCAAAGAAGGGAGGATAGATATGTCAGAGAGACAAAACTGAGAGAGAAAGAGCATCTAATGTATCAAAGTGAATGCAGAGTAAAAGTGGAAAAAAAATGTTGGGGGCAGGGAGACAAGAGAGAGAAGTATGCTTTTCATTTCCACAGCACAGCGCGAAAGAAGCAAAACTGAGCAAAGCACAGCAGGCTTTTCAACCTTTCAGCCTCTCAACAAACAGGCAGCCGGTTGAAATATTGATGCTTCAATTCCAACAAAGGAATGTCTGAATGATTTTGGTACATCTGAGTGGGGAAATTCACCTATCTATAATTGATACGTCTGAAATGTTAATAACTGGATGGGAATGCACGGGAACGGAGGCGTAGGCTGAAAAGCGTGCACGTGGGTGCGTGCGCGCTCACAGTGGCGGTAACGCCCCAAAGGGTCTCCTCTGCTGTTTGCAGGATGCATTCACTCATGATGTGACAGTAAGCAGTTTCTTTTAAGTCAAAGCGTTGGACAGGTAATACATTCATAACTTGAAGTGAGAACTTTCTATATGACTTTGGCAAATCATTCCCTCTGTACTCAGCTGTTTGCAGCCAAAGTGGAGGTAATATAGACTCAAACCCTGGTGGAAGCCTGTTACTCAGCCTGCCTTTATCACTGCTTGCTGTATTTTTATTTCAGACTGTCAAAATGTCCTCGTTCTGTGAGCCTCGGTGTGCAACCGAAGCCAAACAGCCAAAAAACAATGATGGACACCAAATCCTCTAATCTGTGTTAATTCTTCCAAAGTGTGAAAACCATGCTGGAACAGTAAATGTGTTGTAATTAGACCCTGATAATTAGAGACAGGGGACCCAGCGAGGTCCCAGAGTGATTATTATGGGATAGCTAAAGCCAGAGAAACAGGAGGAGAGTGGGCTGAAGTTCACCGAAAACACTCTGCAACTCTCACACAGAGAAAGGCTGGCTCACACAAAAAGCCGTCTGCAAAACTTCTCGTCTTTCCTTAGCTGCGACTTAGCGAGCAGCTTTAAATCTCTTAATCTGCTAGTTTTTACTCCTTTTTTTGGCAAGATATATCAAGTCCTTTGTGCATTTTTCGCTTACCTGCAGTCCAGTTTCTCTATTTCAAAGTGCGGGTTAAAGTTCAGGACGATGCGCTGCGAAGACTCAGGGGCCGTGATGACCCAGCGGCAGTTCTGGTGAGGTGGATACTCCAGAGGGTAGCCGGGGGTGGTGATGTAGCCCGCATCGCTTGCATCTAAATTGCCGCCGCATGGTTCAGATGCTGGATGGAAACAGAGAGAGATAAGGAGAAATCATGTTTTACACAAGTCTGGAAACTCAAGTGGATAATATGATTCCTTATAGGCTTTGGTCACCAAAATCATCCTGCGTGTTTGAAACGTTAACACAGGTCAATACACGAGTTCACAGTTAGATTAAGTTCACCGATTAACTTCTCGGATGAGAGGTGAAACGCCTTCAAGTAACTTAAAGAAGTCCAGACGCTTTTCTTTGCAAGCTCCTTTGACTACGATGACCTGGATGACTGAGAACCTTCACAGACACATTTCACCGATTAACGTTTTCAGGGAAATTCAGGAGCAAGAGGGCAGAGGCTACGTGACCCAGAAGACTAAAGGTGAAAAAATAAAATACAACTGAAAGACAAATAATAAAACAATGACGAGAGATAAACTTCCATATTAATTTTTATCTGTAATAACCTTCACAGCAGCAGGCGGGGCTACAGTTCTGTCTGCTTATCGATACTGACCAGGAGCACGTGTGAACTTCCAGTTATTTCAGAGCATATTTGTTCATCGTGCATGAATTCTCACAATAAATGAAGCAAAACAGATAAAATGCAGATAAGAGCAGTGTGTGCAGAGACAGGATATGAGTGTGTCTCTGTGTGTGCGGTGTTAAAGGTCAACACAGCATCGCGAAGCACAAAGACTTCATTTTGGCCTGGAAGGACTGCCATGCACGCACACAGACACACAAACACACACGCAGACACACACTTCCAGATGCAGCAGTTACTGTCACAGAGCGGACCCACTTGTCAGCACTCATACGTCTGTGTCACATCATAAACAATACTCCTCGTTCACTGCCGCAGATGTACCCTGACATAGATGGGTAACTCATACATATCTGTGACACCCAGCGGCACAACACACACAACTCCACTGTATGAAATCTTTGGCACTTATTGTGCACAATGCTGGCTCTCCTGTTTGATGGACTGCACAGGCTAAATATGCCGAGCTTCTTCATTGTTTAAGATCTGCAAAACACAAGTTAAACCATCGTGGCGAGTATGTGCTGAATGCGAGCTTTGTTGAGTCCGATATAATGGCGCAGTCTGAGCCAGCGACAGACAGAGAACAGTCGACCGTCACGTTTTTTAGTCTGCTCCAAAATAACATCCACCCAAGTGATGCAGGTTAGGGTTAAAGTATATAACACGAGTAACTTGTTCTTCTGCACTGGCAGAAAATTAATAGTAAGTGCTTTTTGTTTAAAAAAAAGAGACTATTATTTCAAATATCCAGGGAAGAATTTCAGCAACCAAAAATGTGATCAATCAGAGCATCTCCAACAAAGCAGATGGATTTTCTGCAAATATTTTGGAGGAAGAAAAGATGGCTACAATAGGCCAGGTTATTCTAGTGAAAACAGCATCTGTGAGCGCCGGCTGCTTGATGGGAAATATTTGGCCGGTGAGCAGCCCCTAAAAATAATTTCCTGTTTTCAAAAGAAGGAAAAACAAACTCACAATCAAGCTCTTGATAGTCAGCAGCTTATTGCTCTCTCAGCCATGACTAAATATGCATCAAGAAACTCGCCTCAAAAGAAAAAAAGCAGAGGAAGAGCAGCAGGAGGAGGTTAGGTGAGCTGTCTTTGCTACGATCTCACCCGCTGGGCCGTGACGTTTTATTTATCGCCACTGTGCTGAGAGGGATGACATAGCCAAGTCAAACTGCTCAGCAGAATGCAGCATGTTTTAAAGCCATAGCTATTAATAGTGTGGCTACTGTAAACTTACTCTGAGTGGAGTCAACATATGCAAACATTAATACACGCACGCATAAACACTTTATCGGGCACCATCTTCGAAACTAATTAAAAGAAAAGGTCAAACAAAAACGCACGTCGAAAATATCACTTTGTTGCCACGCTCACATGGCTGACTGCGTATCAGACAGTCAGTAAGAGAGGATTAAAGAGCCGGTAAGACTTCAGCGCTCAGCGCACACCGTGAGTGACACTTTGGCATCTGTATCTGGTGTCTACCTCACTCTGTCTGCAAACAATTAGTGATAACCGCTCCGTAGCTCAGCGTTTCTGCCTGCCTCTCTTTGGTCTCTGGCGCTGTGAACCAACGAGTCCTGTTTATGTCCTCCTGACACACAGTGGTACAGGAGTAGGGTTACGTGGGCGATGTAACCCAGCCAGATGGATTTCATCTCAGCACCACCTGGATTAGTGTTTAACCACTCTGGAATCTCACAACGACATCAGCCAAACACCACTTTTAGCACACGCTGCTTTGCTAAACGTAGCTAATGAAAACTCTTGGAGAGGTGATGCAAGGGGTGTAAAATCAATGACTGCGGATTCAAATCTGACTGATAAATGAACTCCTGCTTGGATGTTATCTGAAGGATAAGGAAATCGACTCTGGCACATCCACAGGTTGTTTTTTTAAATTTTCGTTTTTAATAGCTGACCAAATTGTTCTTTCCACAGATGTTGACTCAGCTACACATGAATCATTTGTGGTTAAAGTTGGCTGGATGCTTTAAACAAATACCTGTGCAACTATACACTTCAGCATTTACCTCAGGAGCTGCGCTCCGTGATTGTAATGGTATCCTTTAGGACCACTTTGATTAAAATAAGGTTATTCCTATTTGAAATCCATAGTTTTCTGTTTTCCACATGTGGGAAGCTTAAGGTGGGCGGGGGGGCTAAACTCTTGGTACAGAGCAGGCACCTAAAAGACATAAGACACTGACAAAAATGGCATGAAAAGGAGAAACTGGAGTAGAGGTGGGTTGCAAAGTGGCTTGCAGAGGTAGCAGCAGTTGTAGCATAACATTCTCTATATGAGGTTTTCCAATAGGATGTGCATAAAGGTATCAGCTGATTTTGAGCTGTCAGCTGATACAGGCTAGCTCTGGTATCAGGTGTTAGCCGCTAAAGCTAAATGCTAAATATACATATATATATATTCTGGCTGAGTCTCGCTACCTCTCCTCTCCCTGTTTCACCTCTGGCATATGGCCGATAAAGACAGCACCTCCAAGTGTCTGATGAATAAGGCCGGTGTGATATTTAGGCAGGTGCCGTGTGTGCATGAAGTATCGTGTCTGCTTTACTTTAAGGGTCTATTAATCTCCGGACGTGCACACATACACAAAGTCGTTCAACAAACACTGCATCCAAACAGAGCGGAGAGTGACACAAATTGAGGCGATGAGGGCACGGATGACATCAGATCCTTTAGAATGAAGTGCCATTCATGATGAATTTCATATTGCACACGAAACATGTAAATATACAGCCGGTGAAACGTCAGGCCCCTGCAGCGACAGGCCAGCGTGCAAAGGGAGGGACACGGCTCCGGGTTTATGTCTGTAAAACAGGGAGGTGCATAAATACAGCTTCCAAAAGCAAACCTGTTATAATCCTAATTTGTATTCCCCACCCAGACGTGCACGCTGTGAAAAAAGTGCAATGTGTGTCAGAACAGAGAAGATGCTGAGTGGGGGAAATGCCTGACTTCACGTCAAGAATTACCAAATAGGTTAAAGACAGAATCATCCTTTAATCGTCACAGAGCAGCCTGCTGCGAGCAGCTGCAAAGGTGACGGTCCATCTTGGTGAAGTGGGGCTGGGCAAACAGGATGAGTGCAGCAGCTGCCGGCGACAGGAGACGGGAGACAGCAATGCTTGCTTTACTCGTTTTTCTTTTATTACGCTAACACAGAGAGTAGAGTTTATAACAGCAGAGGTTCTCTTCATAGGTTTAAGCTTATTTTCCACTAGATTTGATTCAACTGTAATGGTTGGTTTCCATTACAGTTGAGGGGCACTTATTGAAAGTCCAGTGATGTCATTTCTATGCGACACAACACAAGATTGGAGGACATCGAGGCGATGGTGCGCCTGCTGCTCGGCCTGCAGCTTTCTGTCGGACTCCAGGTTTGGGTGTGGCCATGTGCATCGTTGCCGTTTGATTCCTGTGAAGGAGTGCTACCACCTAATGGAAAACTAGGGAAAAAGCTAGCTAGTGGAAAAGAGGCTACAGTGACTGTAGTACCGTGGAAACCTGAATCAGCGTTAAGTCCTGTCTGACTTTGTTTTTTATCATTTGGTCTAATCCTACAGCGTAGCATCAAACTAGGCTCTGGCCGATACCACAGCGCCGAGCGGGTACTTTCACAAGGCGCCATATCAAAACATCGGCGTCTTCTTTGGCGCAGTGTGTCCTTGCCTTATCCAAACACTTTCCTCCTCTTGACCCTCGTTTTCACACAGTAAAGCTTTTCTCTCAACCGCATCAGCGTGTGTGATCTTCAGGGAGAGGCTGTATTTGCACCACACATTCACAACAAATGCAACCACTGAACATCCCCATTCTGAATACAGACCACACACACACACACACACACACACACACGATAAGCAGCAGTAAATGGTGCTAAGCAGTCGAGCACAGATATAAGACAGGTCATTGCATTATTTATGGCTCTCTGCCGTTTAGTATTGCATCCTTGATAACACCTATTCAGCAACTTTTCCCCACATTCCCACCTCAGCACACACATACACTCAGATGTACCCACAGAGGAATCTATGACAGTTCCCACAGACCTGAACTCGTGCACACTCTTCTCCATGAAGCTGGTTTGCACAGTTGAACCAGATCCTTGTTTGTTGGCCCCAAATGCAAATTTTCTGACCTTGTTTTTAAGCTCTTACAGATTCGTTTTCCCTCTGAGGGAGTCTGATTGGACTCTAAACAGACACTTTTCAGCTCGCAGCAATCGATTTGCTTGTCTGCGAGAACTTTGCCAATCTGTCAGAGTCCACATTTCTTCATGCCGGTCCGACCCCGTCATGAAAGCATTAGTGGTTTAGTGAGTGTTTGTTATGAAAGCAAGAAAATGTGTCAGCTAACCAGAAAGCTTGTTCAGAAACTATCAACCTGTTATCCACCAACAGCAGCGTGAGACTTGCAACCTCGTTACGGTGACCTTTAAAGAGTCG